TTAAATACTCCGAAATTACCATCTCTTTTAAGGGTCTGAGCAGGTGGTGGAGCGGGTTAAGGCGTACCTGTTATGCCAGTTGCTGGAAGGCTTCTGTGCTGGCTAGGGTTCGAGTCTCCTGGTGGGAAAGTGTTCTAAAGTTGTTATATATATATATATATATATATATATATATATATATATATATATATATATATATATATATATATATATATATATATATATATATATATATATATATATATATATATATATATATATATATATATATATATATATATATATATATATATATATATATATATATATATAGCAAGTATATATAAAGCTAAAAACATTTATCTTAAGTATGCAGGAAAAACGACTGTGAATGTAGAAGGGAAGGGAATTATCAGAGGGGAAAGCGCTAAGCCATTACGACTATATAGCACTGGCAAGGGGTCAGGATAAGGATTTATAAGGGATAAGGGATGGGACGGAATGGTGCCCAACCGCTTGGACGGTCGGAGATTGAACGCTGACCTGCATGAAGCGAGACTGTCGCTCTATACCGTCCAGCCCAAGTGGTTGGGTCTGTGAATATGAAGAAAATAACTAAAGTGTTTTCGACTTTCCCGCCGAAAATATATTATATTACGCGAATTTTAACCAATAATAAAAAAATAATGAATCGCATGTCAACAAATAGTCAAATATAATCACAGCATCACTGTATTAAAGTGTATTATATGCAAAAGTCAAACGTCACAACAATATAGTTATACCTGAGTGTGTTTACAGTGGGCAAGCTTCCGCTATATGCTGGAGTTACCATTAAGCTGGGAAGGCTAAGCTGCATCCTGCTGTGTCGCGACCCGTGTGAGGATTGGGGATTAAACTGGGGAATTTCACGGGTTAGCGCCTCGCTTCACCTCTCGCACACAAATGCGCTTACACTGCCACATCCACGCACGCGTGACCGATCCCACGGTGAAATGCTCTTATGAGTTCCAGACTGCGATGAACTAAGAGCGCCTCCATGAAGAGTGACGCGAGGGGTGAATTTGGGTAACATATTATTTTAATGAGTAAGTTATTTAAAGGGTCTAGGTAGTTAAGAGCACAAGTGCCCTTCCCCACTTATCCCCCCCGCCCACAGTGTCAGTGTGAGTGCCATTATGCCAGGTAGCAGTGCCTATGACCCCCCCTCCCTCCACCTCCCATGTGTCAGCATGAGGGCACAGTGCCAGCTGACAATGCCTGTGACCTCCCTGAGCCTGTCAATAGGATGATACAGTGTCAGCTGACAGTGCCAGGGAGACTCCACAGCATGTATCAGCAAGATGACATATTGCAACGTTGCACGACCACGGCATAAGGCCCACTACACAAACTCTTTGTAATTCTCACAAACAAACTTAATGTCATCCCACAAATTCACTGTCACTACAGGGAATTTGTAACGTCACTGTAATCCCACAACTCACTGTAATCATTCTGAATTTCTCGTAAGTATCTAGGAAATGTAGATGTTTATCTCTCAGAATGTTTGGTAATATGTTTATTGTTTGTGATGTGTGTATATGTATGTATTAATACGATGTACTGAACAGGGTGAGAATAGCTTCAGCTACCTCATGGGGCCTCGTAGCCTGGTGGATAGCGCGCAGGACTCGTAATTCTGTGGCGCGGGTTCGATTCCCGCACGAGGCAGATACAAATGGGCAAAGTTTCTTTCACCCTAAATGCTCCTGTTACCTAGCAGTAAATAGGTACCTGGGAGTTAGTCAGCTGTCACGGGCTGCTTCCTGGGGGTGGAGGCCTGGTCGAGGACCGGGCCGCGGGGACACTAAAGCCCCGAAATCATCTCAAGATAACCTCAAGAATAACCTCATCCCTTTGTATTTTACCTCAATAAACTTATTTCAATTTCGTAAGTATCTGATCACACTACATCTACATGACGTACTGTAGAACATATGCTGTGGGTTTTTTCCCCCCTTTATGTGTTTCTTCCTGGGCGACAAAGGGTGGGCAGAGTGCGGGAGAACCAGCCATAGGGAACATCCCCTAAAATGCCTCCTATTGTGAAAACTGTACCACAGAAAAATTCCCTGCCCAACACCTTTTTTTTGCTATCGTCATAACGCCCTATTCTTTCTTGTCCATTTTTTGCCCCTCTCTCACACACAACATGCTACCTGATTTTTTTCGTGTTTGTGTGAGTGTGTGTGTCTGTCTGTCTGTCTCTCTCTCTCTCTCTCTCTCTCTCTCTCTCTCTCTCTCTCTCTCTCTCTCTCTCTCTCTCTCTCTCTCTCTCTCTCTCTCTCTCTCTCTCTCTGCATCCTTCCCTCTATATTATCCACTCTTTCTTTGTGGAAGAGAGATGGTTTCATTACCGACATCAGTCGTAGTGGCAGTTAAACTTCGACTCCCAGGGCGACCATCGCCCCCTTATTGCTGCTCAGGTCCCCAGATGCTACCTCTCTTCTCTCTCACCTCCCTCTATCCTAGTACTAGTACATCCTAGTGAGTGTGTAGGTACAAGCATTTGTGACATCCTTGTATCTTGACACAGCTGACAAGTCACGAACGAGGGCAGGAGTAGTGTGGAGACCTGGTAGCCCCACTGGGCCTGGGCACATGACCAAGCACCCGTCACAGACCTGTGTGTGAACATGACCTAGTCGGTGAACCTGTGTGTGAACATGACCTGGTCGATGAACCTGTGGTGAACATGACCTGGTCGGTGAACCTGTGGTGAACATGACCTGGTCGGTGGTGAACATGACCTGAACCTGTGGTGAACATGACCTGGTCGGTGAACCTGTGGTGAACATGACCTGGTCGGTGAACCTGTGGTGAACATGACCTGGTCGATGAACCTGTGGTGAACATGACCTGGTCGGTGAACCTGTGGTGAACATGACCTGGTCGTCGTGGTGAACCTGTGATGTGAACATGACCTGGTCGGTGAACCTGTGGTGAACATGACCTGGTCGGTGAACCTGTGGTGAACATGACCTGGTCGATGAACCTGTGGTGAACATGACCTGGTCGATGAACCTGTGGTGAACATGACCTGGTCGATGAACCTGTGGTGAACATGACCTGGTCGATGAACCTGTGGTGAACATGACCTGGTCGATGAACCTGTGGTGAACATGACCTGGTCGATGAACCTGTGGTGAACATGACCTGGTCGGTGAACCTGTGGTGAACATGACCTGGTCGGTGAACCTGTGGTGAACATGACCTGGTCGAGAGCAAGGAGAGAGACTCCAGGAAGGGCGGCAATTTGGTGAGAATTTTCTGACAAAAAGTTCTCACCAAAATTGGTTTTAGTCTTTGGGAAGGGGAGCCAGGCGCAGACCCGGGCACTTCCGTATGCTTCTCCTAGTCTATATCTATAAGAATGTTTTTGTCTGCCCAAAATTGGAGGCCAGGTGTTTGGGGCCTCCAATTTTGGGTACTTCTAACCACTGCACCATCGATCGCTGGTGAAGTGCTTAGAGTACCAGCGCTGTTGTTGGGAAGACCCGCGCCGGCCTGGGTTCGAATCCTGACGGGTCATGGAGTTTTTACAATATATGAAGTGAGATTTTATCATTTAATAACTTTTTTATAACTGGGAAGGGTAAGTCTCAAAACGACTTCTCTTAAGAGTGCGGCGTAGGAGGATGTATTCATCTATTTGTGTCTGCTGTATCGAGCTCTTAGCTCTTGGATCCCGCCTTTATAACCGTCGGTTGTCTAATATACTGGCTCTCGGCCGATTTTCTCTATCATATCTATGTTTCTAACATCCACATACCCACACAAAACATGCATGTGCGTGCGTGGGTGCTCTTGTGTGCGTGTGTGAGTACGTGTGTGAATGCTTGTATGTGTGTGTGTGTGTGTACTCACCTAGTTGTACTCACCTAGTTGTGTTTGCGGGGGTTGAGCTCTGGCTCTTTGGTCCCGCCTCTCAACCGTCAATCAACAGGTGTACAGAGTCATGAGCCTATCGGGCTCTGTCATATCTACACTTGAAACTGTGTATAGAGTCAGCCTCCACCACATCACTTCCTAATGCATTCCATTTGTCAACCACTCTGACACTAAAAAAGTTCTTTCTAATATCTCTGTGGCTCATTTGGGTACTTAGTTTCCACCTGTGTCCCCTTGTGCGTGTTCCCCTTGTGTTAAATAGACTGTCTTTATCTACCCTATCAATCCCCTTCAGAATTTTGAATGTGGTGATCATGTCCCCCCTAACTCTTCTGTCTTCCAGTGTGTGTGTGTGTGTGTGTGTGTGTGTGTGTGTGTGTGTGTGTGTGTGTGTGTGTGTGTGTGTGTGTGTGTGTGTGTGTGTGTGTGCGTGTGTGGGTGCTTATGTGTACGTGCGTGTGTGCATGCACACGCGTGCTTGCATTCACGCGTGCGTGCGCGTGGTGTGAAATACTACGTCGATACAGAACAGGATCTTGTAACTCTGCAATATGTTACATGGAAGTCTAGAACAGGTTGAATGGAATATATAATAGGAATGACGATTTAGAATTTAGTGTATAGTGACTTTCAAATTTGTATACACTAATTTTGAATAGCATGCAGTTCTTTGTGTGTTAAGATAGTGTGCAGTGCTTTAGAATAGTGTGCAGTGCTTTAGAATAGTGGGCAGTGCTTTAGAATAGTGTGCAGTGCTTTAGAATAGTGGGCAGTGCTTTAGAATAGTGGGCAGTGCTTTAGAATAGTGTGCAGTGCTTTAGAATAGTGTGCAGTGCTTTAGAATAGTGTGCAGTGCTTTAGAATAGTGTGCAGTGCTTTAGAATAGTGGGCAGTGCTTTAGAATAGTGTGCAGTGCTTTAGGATAGTGTGTTGTGCTTCAGGATAGTGAACACGGTGGAGTGGACGAGTTGATAGTTTCATGGTATTCTATCAAGAAACTTGCAGCTGCTCCCTCAAAATATTGTCCAGTTCAGGGAAGTGAGATTCCAGAAAATGGGAAGCTAAAAGCAAATTACGTTCATCTACTTTCAGTTAGATATACAGAAGTCTTCTATGTGACGCAAACACGTGATGCAAACATACATAAGTGATAACATAAGCTGTATGAAGGTACAGAAGCATGCAAGGTTGTGGAGCCTGAGGAAGGTTGACGAGCCTGAGGAAGGTTGTGGAGCCTGAGGAAGGTTGTGGAGCCTGAGGAAGGTTGTGGAGCCTGAGGAAGGTTGTGGAGCCTGAGGAAGGTTGAGGAGCCTGAGGAAGGTTGTGGAGCCTGAGGAAGGTTGTGGAGCCTGAGGAAGGTTGTGGAGCCTGAGGAAGGTTGTGGAGCCTGAGGAAGGTTGTGGAGCCTGAGGAAGGTTATGGAGCCTGAGGAAGGTTGTGGAGCCTGAGGAAGGTTGTGGAGCCTGAGGAAGGTTGTGGAGCCTGAGGAAGGTTGTGGAGCCTGAGGAAGGTTGTGGAGCTGAAGAAGGTTGTGGAGCCTGAGGAAGGTTGTGGAGCCTGAGGAAGGTTGTGGAGCCTGAGGAAGGTTGTGGAGCCTGAGGAAGGTTGTGGAGCCTGAGGAAGGTTGTGGAGCCTGAGGAAGGTTGTGGAGCCTGAGGAAGGTTGTGGAGCCTGAGGAAGGTTGTGGAGCCTGAGGAAGGTTGTGGAGCCTGAGGAAGGTTGAGGAGCCTGAGGAAGGTTGTGGAGCCTGAGGAAGGTTGTGGAGCCTGAGGAAGGTTGAGGAGCCTGAGGAGGTTGTGGAGCCTGAGGAAGGTGTGGAGCCTGAGGAAGGTTGAGGAGCCTGAGGAAGGTTGTGGAGCCTGAGGAAGGTTGTGGAGCCTGAGGAAGGTTGTGGAGCCTGAGGAAGGTTGTGGAGCCTGAGGAAGGTTGTGGAGCCTGAGGAAGGTTATGGAGCCTGAGGAAGGTTGTGGAGCCTGAGGAAGGTTGTGGAGCCTGAGGAAGGTTGTGGAGCCTGAGGAAGGTTGTGGAGCCTGAGGAAGGTTGTGGAGCCTGAGGAAGGTTGTGGAGCCTGAGGAAGGTTGTGGAGCCTGAAGTAGGTTGTGGAGCCTGAGGAAGGTTGTGGAGCCTGAGGAAGGTTGTGGAGCCTGAGGAAGGTTGTGGAGCCTGAGGAAGGTTGTGGAGCCTGAGGAAGGTTGTGGAGCCTGAGGAAGGTTGTGGAGCCTGAGGAAGGTTGTGGAGCCTGAGGAAGGTTGTGGAGCCTGAGGAAGGTTGTGGAGCCTGAGGAAGGTTGAGGAGCCTGAGGAAGGTTGTGGAGCCTGAGGAAGGTTGTGGAGCCTGAGGAAGGTTGAGGAGCCTGAGGAGGTTGTGGAGCCTGAGGAAGGTTGTGGAGCCTGAGGAAGGTTGTGGAGCCTGAGGAAGGTTGAGGAGCCTGAGGAAGGTTGTGGAGCCTGAGGAAGGTTGTGGAGCCTGAGGAAGGTTGAGGAGCCTGAGGAAGGTTGTGGAGCCTGAGGAAGGTTGTGGAGCCTGAGGAAGGTTGTGGAGCCTGAGGAAGGTTGTGGAGCCTGAGGAAGGTTGTGGAGCCTGAGGAAGGTTGTGGAGCCTGAGGAAGGTTGTGGAGCCTGAGGAAGGTTGTGGAGCCTGAGGAAGGTTGAGGAGCCTGAGGAAGGTTGTGGAGCCTGAGGAAGGTTGTGGAGCCTGAGGAAGGTTGTGGAGCCTGAGGAAGGTTGTGGAGCCTGAGGAAGGTTGTGGAGCCTGAGGAAGGTTGTGGAGCCTGAGGAAGGTTGTGGAGCCTGAGGAAGGTTGTGGAGCCTGAGAGAGGTTGTGGAGCCTGAGGAAGGTTGTGGAGCCTGAGGAAGGTTGTGGAGCCTGAGGAAGGTTGTGGAGCCTGAGGAAGGTTGAGGAGCCTGAGGAAGGTTGTGGAGCCTGAGGAGGTTGTGGAGCCTGAGGAAGGTTGTGGAGCCTGAGGAAGGTTGTGGAGCCTGAGGAAGGTTGAGGAGCCTGAGGAAGGTTGAGGAGCCTGAGGAAGATTGTGGAGCTTGAGGGAGGTTGTGGAGCCTGAGGAAGGTTGAGGAGCCTGAGGAAGGTTGAGGAGCCTGAGGAAGGTTGTGGAGCCTGAGGAAGGTTGTGGAGCTTGAGGAAGGTTGTGGAGCCTGAGGAAGGTTGTGGAGCCTCAGGAAGGTTGTGGAGCCTGAGGAAGGTTGTGGAGCCTCAGGAAGGTTGTGGAGCCTGAGGAAGGTTGTGGAGCCTGAGGAAGGTTGTGGAGCCTGAGGAAGGTTGTGGAGCCTGAGGAAGGTTGTGGAGCCTGAGGAAGGTTGAGGAGCCTGAGGAAGGTTGTGGAGCCTGAGGAAGGTTGTGGAGCCTGAGGAAGGTTGTGGAGCCTGAGGAAGGTTGTGGAGCCTGAGGAAGGTTGTGGAGCCTGAGGAAGGTTGTGGAGCCTGAGGAGGTTGTGGAGCCTGAGGGAGGTTGTGGAGCCTGAGGAAGGTTGTGGAGCCTGAGGAAGGTTGTGGAGCCTGAGGGAGGTTGTGGAGCCTGAGGAAGGTTGAGGAGCCTGAGGAAGGTTGTGGAGCCTGAGGAAGGTTGTGGAGCCTGAGGAAGGTTGTGTAGCCTGAGGAAGGTTGTGGAGCCTGAGGAAGGTTGTGGAGCCTGAGGAAGGTTGTGGAGCCTGAGGAAGGTTGTGGAGCCTGAGGGAGGTTGTGGAGCCTGAGGAAGGTTGTGGAGCCTGAGGAGGTTGTGGAGCCTGAGGGAGGTTGTGGAGCCTGAGGAAGGTTGTGGAGCCTGAGGAAGGTTGTGGAGCCTGAGGAAGGTTGTGAAGCCTGAGGGAGGTTGTGGAGCCTGAGGAAGGTTGTGGAACCTGAGGGAGGTTGTGGAACCTGAGGAAGGTTGTGGAACCTGAGGGAGGTTGTGGAACCTGAGGAAGGTTGTGGAACCTGAGGGAGGTTGTGGAGCCTGAGGAAGGTTGTGGAACCTGAGGGAGGTTGTGGAGCCTGAGAAAGGTTGTGGAGCCTGAGGGGAAGCACCCACACAGACACGACTACCATTACTGCATTACGGTAAACAATGCCACCGGGGTACGACTTGGCCAGCCTAGACCCGTATGGCCAGCCCCAGCAAGCACCAAGGGAAGAGGAAACATTTATGAGATGATCGTGCTGTCAAGAACTTTGCCCATTCGCATGTTGCAAGGATTACTCCCGCTGTTGCCCGATTGAAAAGCTCCTCCACGCACTACCAGGAATCATATGTGCTTGCATTCCCTGCACGCTGCTGCTGCTCTCTCTCTCTCTCTCTCTCTCTCTCTCTCTCTCTCTCTCTCTCTCTCTCTCTCTCTCTCTCTCTCTCTCTCTCTCTCTCTCTCTCTCTCTCTCTCTCTCTCTCTCTCTCTCCACCGTCTCTCTCTCCTCGGGGGAAGGTTGGCATCTCTTATGACATTAATGTCACGATGAATTAAATATTTGCCGCTTGCGAAATCATAACTTTAGCTATGCAATAGCGCTTGCCAATTTACGTGATCGATGTTTGGCAATACTTGCAAATATCTGACATTATGTCGGAATTAAGAAATAGTGGAGATATACCACACGCTTTTACGAACTGCTGATGTGTATTATTATATGACCCTGAACCAGTTATGTGTATTATTACATGACCCTGAAGCAGTTATGTGTATTATTATATGACCCTGAACCAGTTATGTGTATTATTATATGACCCTGAACCAGTTATGTATAATATTACATGACCCTGAACCAGTTATGTGTATTACTACATGACCCTGAACCAGTTATGTATAATATTATATGACCCTGAACCAGTTATGTATAATATTACATGACCCTGAACCAGTTATGTATAATATTACATGACCCTGAACCAGTTATGTGTATTACTACATGACCCTGAACCAGTTATGTATAATATTACATGACCCTGAACCAGTTATGTGTATTACTACATGACCCTGAACCAGTTATGTATAATATTATATGACCCTGAACCAGTTATGTGTATTACTACATGACCCTGAACCAGTTATGTATAATATTATATGACCCTGAACCAGTTATGTATAATATTACATGACCCTGAACCAGTTATGTATAATATTACATGACCCTGAACCAGTTATGTATAATATTACATGACCCTGAACCAGTTATGTATAATATTACATGACCCTGAACCAGTTATGTATAATATTACATGACCCTGAACCAGTTATGTATAATATTACATGACCCTGAACCAGTTATGTATAATATTATACGACCCTGAACCAGTTATGTATAATATTACATGACCCTGAACCAGTTATGTATAATATTACATGACCCTGAACCAGTTATGTATAATATTACATGACCCTGAACCAGTCTGCGTGAGGCAGACACAGATGAACATACAAAAGATCCAATGGTTCCTGATCTAAGAAAAAGGTGACAGGGAGTCAGAGGAACCTGGCACACACCCAACCCCTGAGTACGAGGCTCCAAAGCTACAGGGGAGTGGGGGGAGAGAGGGAGGACCAGGAAACTACCGGTATATATATTACATTCACCTGGGGGGAGGGGGTACTAGGAGGCTCGTACTACCTACATGAGACTACCGGTATATACGTTACTTGTTAGGAAAGTTCGGAATTGAGGTTAGGAATATGGTTTTAATTGGACAGGAAAAGATTGGATGTGTAGAGACTATAGTTGTATGTAGCTGGCCAGGATCTTATTCCCGTAACCTGTACCTCACCTTCACCTCACCTTCACCTCACCTGCACCTTACCTGCACCTCACCTGCACCTCACCGCCACCTGGTGAGAGTCGTCTCATTGCGACTGTAGCCATCATGCCAGTCTCTAATTTAACCCCCGGGGTAGTGAGTAAGCCTATGGAGTTTACGAGCCGCCTGGGCTGCCGCGGCACTGTGAGCCCTGGAGCAAGAGGGCGGAGGGGCGAGGGCGGCCTGGCCGACGTGTAGCGACTTCATCACCCGGGCGTCATAGTAAAATGGCCAGACTTTATCCTTCTCATCCCAGGTGGCGACACTGATGCCCCCACACACCTGATGGTTGGCTACCTGCTGCTGCTGCTGCTCCCTCCCTGCTGCTTCTGCTGCTGCTACCTGCTGTTGTTCCCCTGCTGCTGCTTCTGCTGCTGTTGTTCCCTGCTGTTGTTCCCTTGCTGCTGCTGCTGTTGTTCCCTGCTGTTGTTCCCCTGCTGCTGCTTCTGCTGCTGCTGCTGCTGTTCCCTGCTGCTGCTGCAGCTGCTTCTCCCGGCTGTTGCTGCTGCTCCCTGCTGTTGCTGCTGCTCCCTGCTGTTGCTGCTGCTCCCTGCTGTTGCTGCTGCTCCCTGCTGTTGCTGCTGCTCACTGATGTTACTTCTGCTGCTCCCTGCTGTTGCTGTTGCTGCTGCTCCCTGCACCCCTGACGGGGAGTCAGCGGATTACACGGGGAGTCAGCGGATTACACGGGGAGTCAGCGGATTAGACGGGGAGTCAGCGGATTAGACGGGGAGTCAGTAGACTTGACAGTGAGTCAGTATACGTTTGTCACTAAACTATCGAAGTTTTATTTAATTATCGTTAACTGTTAGTGATACAGAACACATATCGTGTCCACCCCCCCTTCCCCTCACAAGCCAGGAAATATAGCCAGAGAGGAAGTGTGACATAGCCGGAGCCACCACCGGCCTGGCCGGTTGAGATATCGTGTCGGCTTCCGGTAATGTGATGCTGCGTTGGGAACTTGCTCGTCTGATGACCGACTCGGGCTGCAATTAACTCCACATCTGTGCCAGTTACCGCGCAGAGATGGCCAACCACTCCAAGTCACTTTCCCCGCGTCCGGTAGCCCGGAGATGATCGAGGGGGGCCTCTCGCGAGGCGCTCTCCTACATCGAGACAAAGTTGGGAATGTAATATGTGAAACAGAACTGGTGTTAACTAGACCACACACTAGAAAGTGAAGGTACGACGACGTTTCGGTCCGTTCTTGACCATTCTCAAGTCGATTGTCTTGACTTGTCAGACAATCGACTTGAGAATGGTCCAGAACGGACCGAAACGTCGTCGTCCCTTCTCCTTCTAGTGTGTGGTCTGGTCAACATTCTTCATCCACGTTATTGTGACTCATCGCATCATATGATTCATCATTGATCATCAGATTAAATTTCTCCACCTACTCTGCAGGCCCCCAAATCATCATTTCCAAGACGAACTGCCAATTTATGGTTACAAAAGAGAAACAGAGAGGAAAAAATTGTAATTTCCATTGTTCTATTAAAATCCTGACACGAGGCTACAAGAGGAGGAAAATATTGGCCGGTGACCGCAGCAAATCCGATCACGTCCATAAAATGGCCTCACACCGCTGCACCGACACCAGCCCCATGTAATCTCTAGCAAGGCCAACGGCCGGCCTTTTCTCGCGCTTCCCGCTCTGGCCAGTTGCACACCACACAACAATCCATTTTAAAAAGCCTGTCTTTCGAAATTTCTGGTGGAGAGAGAGAGAGAGACAGAGAGAGAGAGAGAGAGAGAGAGAGAGAGAATATTATATATTTTTATGATTACTGGTGAATTGGTAATTACCAGCACTCGTTCCACAATAATGATATGGTTAATTCTAAATTACCTGATCCTTATTTTGTTTGATGGTGTTTGTTAGTTTGTGTCGAAGGAGAGCAAACAATATTAGCAAACCTTGTTTCCGAATATTACAATAAACTATTTAAACACACACACACACACACACACACACACACACACACACACACACACACACACACACACACACACACACACACACACACACACACACACACGTAACAAACCACTTCAGGGGTTCAACGTACGCGTGTCGGGGGAGAGCGCACATTAGTTGTTCACCCCAGAGATAAAAGTGGCACTAATGTGTTGTTCAGCCGCACACACAAACGCCACACTGCAGCGATATCGCTTTGCAATTTACTATGCAAATTGGCTATTTCACAAATCAAATTTATAGACTCTATATTCGCATTACTAATCGCGTAACTATATCGTAAATACTGCATATATGGGGGAGTATTTAAACACGTAACAACAGCACGCTAATGGCAGCTAAATGGAGGGTTGGATGGCTTGAGGGGTGACACAGCCTGGCCTCCTGGCCTCTATACCTCGCCCGGCCTCCTGGCCTCTGGACCTAGCCCGGCCTTCTGGCCTCTGTGTCTCCCACTATACACAATTTTGTGTAAATACTTTACACACAAAAATTATTTCATGTGGGCATTTTTTCCCTAACGTAAATAATCTCTCTCTCTCTCTCTCTCTCTCTCTCTCTCTCTCTCCTCTCCTCTCTCTCTCTCTCTCTCGCTCTCTCTCTCGCTCTCTCTCTCTCTCTCTCTCTCCTCTCCTCTCTCTCTCTCTCTCTCTCCCCACTACCATATACATAAAAATAAACAGTAACACTACGTAAATACATGTACATAAGAATTACTAGAATACCTTAGAAATTAATAATAATACTTAAAGCTACTTATCTCCTTCAACTTGGTCAATATTGTAGAAACTTGCCAAACCAATTAAAAGAAAAAATAATCACATCATAAATCTGTATAAATCTGTATAATCACATCATAAATCTGTATAAATCTGTATAATCACATCATAAATTTTTGACGGCCTTGGTTACATTTATTAAACAGTTTACAAGCATGAGAACTTGCCAATCAACTGTTGTTATTGTTGTAAACAGCCTCCTTGTGCTTCGGAGCTCATTAACTGTTTAATAATTGTAAACAAAGCCGCCGAAGATTGAGAAAAGATGTACAGGTTCGTAAATGCTTGCGTAACCGCCTCTCATATTTCTGAAAATACCGAATGTGGTAAACAAAAGGTTCATCTTGAGGAATACTGAACCATTTGTAAAGGAACCACCATGTTATCCCAATACACAAGTCTTCGCAAGTTTCAAATCAATATGAACATGCCATTAGAGATATCACCAGGAAGACCAGTAGCTGCGAACTACCACCAAAATCAAAGGATATAAGCCATTAGGATT